GATTTGACAACACCAGAAGCTTCTAATTCACTGTACGTATAGTGTTGAAATCAGTGCACCTCTACCCAGGCAAATTCCCGTCGCTGGCAGGGCACCACATTTTGTGCCCTTCCTTTGTAAACACGAATACGTGGAACATATTCTATGGAAATGACTACACAGTGGGAAGCTTCTCGATTACAAAACCCTGGACCTCCTTGAGACGCGGTGGCGCAACTCTTGGTCAGCTTAGAACCTGAAGATCTAGTTTGGGCCATCCAGCAGGCCCGGGAAGCGGCGGAAACGCTAAACCTTACTGCGACGACCCGGTTGGCTTAGGCCAGGCTGCCAACCTGCTGGTTTTAAATGGAGTTTGGTCCACTCCACTCCCACGAGGTGCGAAGAAGTTATAATTTATTGAACTCTCTCGTAACTTGCAAGGCTTCAAGTCGGACCTAATAGTCACGATTCCGGAGGTGTTGCATGAAATAATAAATGAAGTTTAATTTTTAAAGTGCTTGAAATGACCCCTTTGTACCTCGATCCACGTGCAGATAGCGGGTTCAAGTGATAAACATTTAAAGTAAATATGACGAAATCATACACCAAATTTCGTAAACTGTTAATCAAGAAATGCAAGATTTGGCTATACCATAGTCTATGCCTCCACTGCAGGGACCATCAGCTTCAAAAATGCTCCATTCAGTCATTCTGAAGCTGTTTGCGACGTCATGCCTCATTCGCTTCTTGTTATGAACCGTAATCCTAGTCGTCGTTTTCTTTCTGTTTTGTCCTTCGCTAGACCGTTCTGGAGGGAGCGTGCGCGCCTGCCGGCAAATGTGAGCTGATAGGGGGTAGGTGTATGGCTGAGGGAGGGAGAGGATGGTGTGGAGACTGAAGATGTGGTGAGGAAGACGCTATCTTCTCTCCTCCCTTCATTCATGAAGACTTTCTAACTAGTTTCACTTTGTATCTTTTCCCATCTTCACTGAAACGAAGACTTTAGGTTACTTTCTACACAATAGACCTTCTTCAACAAAAATGTCGTGGTTAGGCAGGGCACTACGCGATTACTTAATTCCCAACGCGCAAAATTTAGAGATTTATCACTACATAAGTCCCCACTTCACCTGGCAACAAATAAGTTGTGGTCTAGCAGAGAACGGCACGGCCCTTCAATTTAGAACGTGCGACGCTCGGAGAATTCTCCCTACATAAGTACCCACTTCACCTGGCAACAAAGAAGTTGTGACTAAGCAGCGCGCTGCGTGGTCCTTTCATTTACAATGCGCGACGTTTGGAGATTTCTCACTACACAAGTCCCCACTTCACCTGGCAAGCCCGCCAGGCAGTGATAAGTCTCATCATACGCGCACACGCCACTCGAAGTGGTTTAGCTCGTCCGACCGTGTTTGCTTTTCTCTTATACGCAGACACTGCATGTCGGAGTCGGAGAGAACGACGGATAACGGGTATCGTCGCCTTTATCACCGCTTACACCCCTTCGCTCTCAGCGCGATGCACGAAATAGGGGCGACTACGCTAGCATGAATGAGCAGCGAGCCACGAGCGCTCCAGAACGCCGCGTTAATCCACAGCGGAGGCGGCGTCGCTCGGAATTCACGGCGCTCCCGTGGGCTTGCCGGCGGCGTTTAACGTTACGCGTAGTCACGGTTCCCCGCCGCTCCATCCTCTCCGATACTGTTGACCGAGATGCTTCCGTTCTCCACTGCACGCAAAGAGAAACAAATAGAAGCTGCCTGATGCTGCCTTTCTAGCCACCGGGAAGGGAATGGGTGGGGGAGTGTAGAGGGTACAGAAGCGGAAGCGCAGTCCGCTACGAACTTATCACCTTGTCTCTGCTCAGTTGTTCTCTTCCTGTTCCGGTGCTCGTAGTACGAAACATTCATTGTCATTCCTTTCCCGCGGATTTACGTGCCGAACTTATCACGATATGTTTACGAAGCCGGGATTAAATCTAGACTTTCAAGGGTTATACTGTGATGTTCACCTTAACTCATCGAAATGTGGCCGCCGTAGCTGGCAGTCCAACCTACGTCCTCAAGGACATCACCGCTTGCGTCTTCCCGTTAAGTTCTACAACGGCGGGTAGCAGGAAACACGGATTTTTTTATGCATATAAGCGAAATCCATCACCAAAATTCATCTCGTTCATATTGCAAGATATGCTGTGTGGACTGTGAGACCATTGGTCGACCTTCATCGATGGTTCTATTATATCCTGCTTTGATGAAGTATACAGCTGGGCGGAAACGAGTCTGGGCAAGAACAAACATGAAGACAATTAAAATAGGGTGCTGACTACGATAAAATCAAATAAATGCAAAACGTCCTGGCTCCTGTGTTGTAGCCAAAACGTCCTGCTCTTAAATATTCTATTTTTCCACATGCCCAATAGCGTGGCTGCCTTTCACGCAAATGTGCGCTGCTTTGCGCATTCGTCAGGTAACGTTCGAACTATCCGTAGGGCACTAAATATTTATATACTTTTTTTCAGCATGTGTGTGTGTGTGTGTTTGTGTTACGCTTGCAAGCCATAGTTTATGCAAAATATATGGGGCAAATATGGGAATGGTTGATTTTGGAGGCCGCAGAGTCCCCACTAAGCAAACTAAAAGATCATCAATGCTAACTAAAAGGAAGCCAGCACGTCGCCCATCACTTATTGAGCGCCTGGGAAGCTTCCATCGTTGGATGTATTCAAACGAAATGGCATGTGACCAGTTCCTGCTGATTACCATAAAAAAGATAATTGCAAATTGTTCTCGTTTGCTCTGCTTTCTATCTTGTCGGACACGTTTGCGAGGCAGCATCATTTAGTAATTTAATAATATGTGCAATCTGTCTTCTTGCCCTTCCCTCTCCTCCCACCCCCCTTGTTGTTTTTCGACACTTTCGCAAGCACTTCAACATCATTCGCAATTTGACTTATACTAACCTCGTATTTTTACATTGCTTAAGCTTCTTGTCAAGTAACGCTCTTTCAGAACATTATTGACACTTTATTTTTCGTGCACTTGGTGTTACATACAATATTATTGCGCACGACGAAGTGTCAGCATGCATAAGACTATATTCCGCAAGACGAAGTCACTCTCTTAAATGGAAACCTACTCATTCACTATACATTCAAGAATAATGTGGCCTATATAACTGAAATTTGCTGGACTTTCAACAATTTACACTTTTTAACGCTCTGTATACGATCTACTCGTGTACCTTCGGCTTCGTACCATTTTCCTGTGATGAGCCTGCTGTGTTTGTAATGAGAACGCCTGTTGGTCAATGGACATTTCTTTGGAATATTCATTCGTCTTCCCGGCATATAGAGAAATATATTCCTGGTGTGAGAACAATAGATTGTCGCCAAAGTAGCAGCCAACATTGACTAGTGTGTGTTACCTCCGCACCGACGGATTAAGTGATATTAAAAAACCAGACCACAATAACTTGGTCTTCCGCATTTTTGCTCAGCGCTCGATTTATCTGGAAAGGTATGTGATTCTACCGGCTTTATTCGCTAGTTGAGTTTCTTGTTCATTTGTCTTTTTTCCTTTCATTTGCTGAGTTATTCAATCTCTTATGACGCAGTGTAAATCAGTAACTGAGGATGAGTCCAACTCGCTGACGCTCTATACCGTACAGCAATGGCCTTTTTTTTTTATTCAAATAGAAAATAAACGACGGAGTTTTTGTCACCGTTATTTGGTGACGGCTACCCCTTTTCACTTGGTTGTTACAAATAAAGAAAAAGAAAAATAGCGTATATACATATATGCAGTCCTACATGAGTGAGAGCAAACGTTCTCCTATGGGCAGAACAAACACGCAGTCGCCACGCTCACTTTTAACTTTTGCCTGCTCAATAGTGGTCACAAATCTTCGTTTTTTTGAAGAAGTGTTGCAGCACCTTCATTGCTTTGCAATTTGTTTTGGATGGCCATGGGCCTAGTATTTTATTCAACGCAAATGGCCGCTCTGCTAGTAACTTATGGAGTTCCTGTTCTAGTCGCCTTCGGTGTGTGTCGTGTTTCGGACAGTCGAGCAACAGGTGACAGGTATCCTCGTCGTCGTGTCCGCACGAACATGCTGACGATGTTGCACACTGAATACGAAGTAGGAAGTGCTTTGTGTAAGCAGTTCCATTTAACAGCCGTCAGAATTTAATGCATAGCTTAATGCGGTGGCTAACACAGCTGGCAAAGTCCGCCACTAATTTTTTTCTCGCTCTTCGTCCTTTTTTCATGTTTTTATTCTTGAAATTTTATAGCGTTCCTCACTTACGCATTATTTAACTATTATCACCTCGCTGCCTCGCGTCGCAGTCATAATAGGCGCTTCGCAGTGCGGAAAAAACAACACTCGAACGAATCTTAATCGGAGAACAATAAACGGGATTCCACGGCAGTCGCAGTGTCGTCGCGCTCGCCTATCGACGACGAGGCGCTGATCGAGAACGGGGAACGCAGTCTGGCACAGCTTATCTGGCGTGCCGGCTACGCATACATTGCACGCAAAAGGTACAGCGGACGCGAACGAGACCAGACGCAGCAGGATGAGGAATAAGGCGAGCGGGTTTGGACTTATCTAGCGCAGATACATGTTACCTACGGCATTGCGTTCACCGTCTCGCACTCGAAGCGGTGATGTTCGCACTTGTTTTGCGAGGTGTCGGTGATAAGACCCGCAATGCACGGACCGATGACGTGAGACTGTTGTTTTTACAACGTCCCCTAAAACAAAAGAAAAAAATCCTTCATAACGGCACTTCATGGGCTATAATTCTGAGATAAAGAGAAAGAGAACGTACTGGAAGTTGAGCATTTGGGGAGGAGCAAGACACTTCCGCGGCGCTGAAAGGGGGAGAGGGATATATAGCGGAACAACAAGAACGACATATCATCTCACCTCCCCTACGCATCGCGTTTGTTTTTCTCTCGCCGTCCGAAGTACAGCGTTGCAATGTCATGATTGGCACGCAGGACGACACCGGATGTGCAGGAGGACCACGTGATCGCTCATCCTGGACCAATGAGTGAGCAGGCAGCGCTTCACGAGGAGCACTACTTAAGCGGTGTCCCGGGTCCCGCGACCTCAGCACGGGTTCGCCCCTTCAGCCGATGCATCCGCGCGAACGAGTTTGGAGAGACTTCTACATCGTGACTTTTCGTTCGGACCAGTTCTCAGAAGCCACCTCGTGTTTGAGACCTCGCGTTAGCGTCTACCATACTCCGGAATGGTGTCCACAGCTGCGGTCGAGTTTATGGCGGCATCGGTGAGTCGGTCGTCCTCTTGCTCAGTGTTCTTCCTTAAAAAAGTGTCAGCAACTCAAACCTTACAGGACGAGCTATGCTGATAAGGGGAAACACTTTAGGCATTTACTTTCACTTTCTAGAAATTAGAGAGTTGTAGGCTTTGTTTCCTAAACCACATATGAGTATCTCGTAACTCCTATATATGTGAATTCTAGTTGTTACCTGTGCATTAAATGGTTTACACAATAACTTGTTGATGACATCAGGACAGCACACTAAACAGTGCGTTGCGTGCCGAAAATAATAACACATATTCATATGCCCCTTATATGATAGCGAGACTGTAACAGTCCAGATAACAAAAACATTCATTTCAATTTTTTTAGAGTGTCGTGCTTCAATGTATTTGCGCTTTACGGAAAAGAAAAAGTATGTCATATATACCTTGTTCGTTGTCTTCTTACTTGCCATATAACGCCATTTAGTGTGTGTGTTCTTTTTTTTTTTTTAGTGCCAGAGTACTACCTTCTATTTTATTTTGCAAGCCGCCCTTGGCAGTTGGTAACGCATGGCCAACCAATACCTTCCCTCTATTAAATAGTAGAAATAAACATTTTTTTCCCGAATAAACACTGCTTCCAGTTCTTGTCTAGTCCTTCAAGTCGGCTACATCAAACTTACAAACAGCCATTCTATAGCACCGATCTATATATAAAAGTTTTTGAACTGTCCTGCGGATACCCGCGTAGACCCAGGAATAATATTGAAATGCAGGCTGGTCCATATAAATGCACAGTGGAAAATTTTTCGCACAACTGCAGATGGGTCAAAAAGAATTTCGCAAGAACCTGTGATCTACTCTGTTCCTTAGAAAATTTTTCGTTGTGTCGTTCTCTTGTGAACTCAAATTTTTCTTGTGGACGCTGATTTTTACTGAAAATTGTATGCATGAGTAACTCAATATTGTGGCGAATTTGATCAATTTAACCTGCTTATCAGCGCATGGTCCGCCTTGTTTATTTTACTGCGCAGTACTAAAGAAAAAAACGACATACATCACGGTCTATAACAATATCGCCTACCCTTTCTGCAGTGTCGGGACGTGACGAGCTTGAACCAGACTGACAGGTGTGAGTTTGTTCGTTCTGAACCATCATGTGCCTCCAACATGGGCTACGTCAACTACATAGAGGGAATCTACTGCCTCTTTGGCCCTGCACACTTCGTGGAATCTCTCATGCTCACGGTAAGTGCCCTGTTCAAAACAGCGGAAAGTTTTGTGATCACGTTGAATATTGCATTAAAGTGCATAGAGTTTTTACGTAACAGCGCTCGGGGCCTAAAGTACAAAAAGTCACTGCGATTATGAAATAATTGAGCTTGTAAATTTCTAATATATGATACCGCTGTGACGCGGACACTTTTTATCGCGACCGGGAACTCATTGGAATGCCGAATTCTTCCTTTGCGCAAGCTAAAAAAGAACGCCAAGCGCTGTCGAGAAATTCGATCTTGACCGGGCTCGATCGCAATCGGCAATGCACCATATGTCGCCGGTACAGGTTACAGTTACCGTCAATACTCTCCACATCTCCGCTCCTGTTACCTTCGTACTGCGTCAGACAGATACATGTCAGCTGTTAGAATTTTCTATCTTTATGAATAATCGCAGTGTGCTACCGCAACACAGACTTCTCGCTTCTTTTTAGAACGATTATTATTTTATGAGCACTTGGCACAACATCAATTCTAGAATTTCATCCCTTAATACCAATATTTAGTATTTTGGCATATTTTAGAATACGTTTTCTCTACAAGTTCTTTTTCGTTTTCTAAAGCTACATGTTTCCCTTGACAATTTCCCGCGGCAACAATCTAACACCTGAGTTATGTTACTTCGAAAGTGTAAAGTTGCCATTTGCCACTACAGTGACGGCAAAAATTGTACTTTTATATTGCAGAGAGCTCCAAGAAAATCATACACTTATCATATATTCCTTTAACTAGTTTTCGATTAAAGATTCATTTTGCTATCTAAGCCTTTGAGAGAACTGCAACTCATGGAAAGCTAGATCTGCTGGATTTTCCTTTCATGCTTACGCACGCAATAAACAGCTGTGCCCGTCGCATCACGTCGTAAAAGCATCCCGCGCCACATGGGCATGACAGGAATTGCCCCACTTTATGGATGTCCCTCAGACAGCGTCGCAGCCGCAATTATACGTACTTGTGTCGCAAACAAGGTGCGATGAAGCATCCTCACAGATAAGAGTCATTTCAACGACCAGATGTGGGAAGGGTAATCACGCCACAGCAAGCACAACAGTGACGTGTATTGCATCATACATTTGTCTCAGTTAAAGGTAAATCAAGATCAGGCAATTCTGAGCGTCGACACCGCGAGCGAAAACGGGTTTTCATGAATAACTGCATTGTGCTAATAAGAGAAGCTTCGTTGGTGACTTTGGTTGCCACGTTTAATTGAGCTCTAAAGGTATACAGTTCTTGTGAACAGTGAAATTGGCGGCTGGTCCTAGGCATCGCCCGGGGTTCCAACACTTGGGCCAGGTACTTTTTTAATGTCAGAATAGCACGAGTTCAACTAGACACATGAGTTTGTAACCGGCTAAGGTTTTACGAAAAATGACGCCATATGCATGAAGTGAATGATGATGAAGAAGCTTGCTCCGGAAGTTAAACCTGGTAAACTGTGAATTATTATTATTATTATTATTATTATTATTATTATTATTATTATTAGTAGTAGTAGTAGTAGTAGTAGTAGTAGTAGTAGTAGTAGTAGTAGTAGTATAACGAACGCCCGTTGCAGCGCCCCCTCCCTACTGCGCGAAAATCGGCGGATTTGACTAGCATTCGCAAGCGCCAAGTGCCTTGGAACGGTGCTAACTATGGGAGCACCCACGGACGCCGGTCGCGTCGGTTGCGTCTCGCGTCGGAGCTCGCGTTTTTATGGCGTAGCGTCGCTGGCCCAGCGTGCCCTCTCGTCCAAGAAGAGAGAAGGACGCGCGAATCGCGTCCCATTCTGACCCTGTCATTCGCTCCAGACGAAGCATGGCTACTATGGCCGGTGGATGGGCAAGGCTCGAGCATAAGGAGCAAGCTCCTAAAACTTTAGAGGTTGCGACGAAAAAAAAGGTGGCAACAATTATTTTTTTTAATATTAATTCATTTGATTTTCGGCTCATGGAAGCAGCAAGAAACTCTCGGGAGTTAAAAATGTGATAGTGGAAGTTTGCAATCTTTCACTATGATAACTTCTCACCAGACTAGAGGCTGTTAAGTTTGGGGACACGCATTCTATGCGATTCTTAGCAGCTAATCGCACGAGCAAAACATCATCATTTTTTTTTTTGCCTTATTGGCCTGAATTACGGGTCCACCATGTGAACTCGTTGAGTTTGGCTTTAAGTGTTACTGGCCGTGGTAATAAATGACTCTATATAGCAACCCCGCTTAACCGATACCTTGCTTAGATACGGCTGAAGTTTTAAAACACGTTACGCTTCTGGGGTCTGACTTGTCTTTCATCCACTGTCTCATATTCCATGGTCACATAACGGCCAACGAAAGCCTCAAACAAGGCTAACAATGCTCGAAACCAATAAAAGTAAACTAGGTCTAAAGTAACACGAACTACAGCAGTAATCAAGAATTCATCTCAATAGAGCCAGAGTTTCGAAAAGCGCTTCTGAAACATCAGGCTGATCCACGCGCCGCACCAGAGAGGGTGCCACCACCTCGGCAAGCCCACGATTTCATAGACCTGGGCGTTGGCAAGAGCGTGATAACAAAGGGAATAACTGGGTTCTCCGTGTGACACGCTTCCTATAATTTCACGGTTGGGAAGCTGCATTAAGCGTACAATTTAGAGTTACCCCAATTCCTACATAACAACATTTTTAAGTGCGATAGCCTTTCTTGGGGACCTCTGACAGCAAAATTTTGGTCCATTTATCTTTTTGTCTACAGTAACAATTTTCTTAACGGCACCTAACGATATTTTAAATGGCCAACCCCATCCACAGCGCCCACCAATATTGCTCAAGCTTCAGCGTTCATACATGTGCGATTGTCAATTAAAAGGCAATTATTGCGCATTTGGAAGCACCATAATAACACGTTGATGTTTTGTATGTGTTCCTTTATACTAGAGAATGCACACGCACGTAATTTTAAGGACCATAGAGTTTATCATGCTGTGCTGACAGTGCAACGCGATGCTCGAAAAGGCAAGTGTTTCCAACGCTTTGCTAAGGCGACACGGTGGTGGCACCTGCCCGTCACTTTACGTTCTACAACATATCGCATTCGAGACATGCGCGTGTCTTTCTCCACGGGCGCGCACGCCTTCCATCGTTTTCGAAGGTAACTGCCAGATGGCGCTCGTGTCTAACTGCCTCGATGCGCTAGTTTGCCTTCGCTGCGCAGATGCAGACTCTGTAACGCAGCACTTCCAGAATACAATTCACCGATTTTCTCGCGCAGCAGATCAAATAAACGTTTTGTTCACACTCTCCACCCGCAAGATTATCGTCTTTCGACGACATTTGCAGTCAAACGTGCAGATACGGAAACATTTTTTTTTTTGTAAGTGCTGCGTAAACTTTACCTGCTCTGTATTAGGAGGAAGGTACGAAATAAAGGTTAATACTGGTTGCTTTGTGGTATCTGGAGTTGCCTTTATGTTACATTTTCTACGTATCTCTTCGTTGAATAATGTATTACTATTTTCTGCTCGCAGGTGATGTGGTTGCTGGTGTTGTTCGTCGCCCTCGGCGTTACGTCAGGTGACTTGTAAGTGATCATCACTGCACCTGTTTGCGATGACTTCCACTCCTCTCATACTTGTGTCGTGGTTATCGTTTACCCGTAGACATCTAGTTGTTAGAAAGTCAGTGCTAAATTTGAATTGACTGATTTATTACCGCAGAACCAATAAGTACATTGTATTGCCTTCATTCAGGTTGCAACGAGAACATGCATGAAAATTTTAATTAATTCTTTCTCGGCATACCTAATAGACCATATAGATAATAGTAAAGAAGAAAAGCTGAAATGCATAGAATGTGTTTTTATAATGCAAAGTAGACAGGATAGCTCAATTGAAAGCATTCGTAACACGTTTTTAACTACGATAATTTTTCTCGGCCTATTCTTGCTAAGATACAACACTTTGTCACACTGTGCTTATGTGATAATAAACTGATTATATCTATATACACAACAATAAAAAGAAAATTGACCTCTCTAACAAATTTTTCTTCCAGCCTGACCCCAGCGTTGTTCGTCATCTCAAAGACCCTCCGCATGTCCCAGAACATGGCAGTATCCTTTGTGCTGCAGAACTGTGACCTACATTTGCTTGACTAAAATAGCTCATCATAGTCGAAATTGTCGTCTTTCTTGGAGGCTTTCTTCGTTATACCATTTGTCTTTTTTTTAATACGTCTCATACTGAGACAAACTTCCGATGTTCTCTACGTTTGCAGTGCACTTATTTGCCATTATTCACGAATCTATTTTTTCCAAACTTTTTAACAAACTAATTTTTCTTTCAAGCTGAAGGCACTAACAAAACATTTTTTGAACATTTGTGCTGTTAAAGACACGACTCCACATTAGCGTGCTGGTCACTATGCCAAAATGTTCTCGCCTTTTAATTGCGGTGGTTTCTAACAGTGCAGTATAACGTATCTTTATATCAAAAATGCCTTGACTAAAGTGCATGGCGTCACACTCCTCGCATTCGGCAATGGTTCGCCGGACATCTTCGCTGCCCTGGCGGGAGTGAGACAAGGATCATACGAGCTTGTCATTGGAGGCCTTATTGGTGGGTTAAGCTCGATAATCCTTCATAAATTTGCTTATTGTACATTGTTGCACTTATAGATAAACGAAATATATTTCACGGGTTAAAAGACCGTTGTATGTGAACAACATGTTCATTTACTGATACATTGCATTACTGAACATTATGCACTACAAATTTTAAACTGTAAGGAGATTGTGCTTCCTTGCAGGTCAGGCAACATAGTCTGTTTTCACGCCATTGACGTAAAATAGTCGGCGGGAACCGTCGTGAACGTAAAAACAAATGTCAAACCAACCATCAGTCAGCTCTGCACCACAATTGAACATTAATGGAGCGTAACGTATGCCCCGCCCCAGTAAGCTTCAATTGTTAGTTTGGGCATAATTGTCTGTGAACGAAGCGTCATTGCTTTGTTAATTAAAATATTTATGCTATAAGAAATGACTTACTCATAAACGTTCAATATTACCTAACCAATGCTATCAGCGTCAACTGGCTTTATACAGTTCACGTTATTGAGCTCGCTCATTAACAACTTCAGGAAACGTATTGTCATGACTGTTACTGGCAAGCGTTAATCCCGCTTCGCATAACGTTATTTTAGGGGCGAAGCTCCTTAAGGCGTTGGTCTGTCCACCCCTTGTATGTATGTAGTAGTGCGTAGCTTCCGCTGGCACATACCCGCTCTAAAGCCTGTATATGCCACAGGGGATGCGAGATGAGAGATGGCGGTACTTGGAGTGTTCGCTAGATGGACGCATAGACGGATGGACAGACAGACTAGTAGACAGACGGACGGATGGATAGACGCGCGGATGTATGGACAGATGGATGCATGGACAGACAGGCAGACAGACAAACAGATTGATGGACGGACTCATGAACGGACGCATGTACAGACGGACGGACGCATAGATGGACGCACGGATGGTGGCGTGGACGGACGGAAGCATGGACGGGTTGACGGACGCTTCGCCTCACTCATCATTATTACTCCATGGATATTCTGTGTTTTTTTTCCAGAAGGAATCATTCTTTCCTAAGGGCGAATCGTATTCATCTGCGCAGGTGGCGGTATATTCGTCACCACCGTTGTTGCCGGTTCGGTGTTCCTGGTGGCACCCTTCAAGTTGGCCTCCCGACCATTCGTGAGAGACGTCGTGTTCTACTTCTCCGCCTGGGGCTTGGGCCTTCTACTTGTTTTTATACGGGATCGATCACCACTGATGCACGCTATAGGTACGGCTAAATGTTCGTTTTACTGAGATGTTTTTATACTACATACGGAAAAATATTAATATGATAAAAATGGCGAACTGAAAGGGATCAGTTAGCTTACACTTATTGTTGACTATCCACGATGTTTTCCCGTGTTTCCGTACAGCTTCCACGCCTATTGTGGCATGGACTTGTGTAATATGAAGAACGCTCTTAACGACTGTATCATACAACTGCTAGGTACTTTCATACTATGTTGTCAAGCTAAAAGCAAGAATTCAAAAGCAAAATCATGAACGAACTTTTAGTAAGAATTGTGGAAGAAGGCATGCTATAGTGGGCGTCAGTAAAGTGAGAATTCCAGAGTAGAGTGGTCTTAAAAAGAAAATTGAACTTCAAATAGAAACAAAATCAGCAGGCAGCCCTTCAAGACGGAGTTTTCTTTCTGAACACGCAGGTTTCATCTGCCTCTACTGCGCATACATTACTGTTGTCGTCGTGAGTGGAATAGTTTACCAAAGGTACCTGGTCAAAGAGCAGGATCGCCAACAGCGAGACACAGAAAAAGCTGGCCACGATGAAAAGCCTCCTAAGAACGGTAGGTGCTTCCCCACTCGACCAACGCTTCTGGCGCTGACGGTTTGCAGGCTCGTATGTACTGCCAAACCGGACGGGCGCCATGTCTTGCGTCGGCAGCGCCATCTCAGCCTTGGTGCCTGTCACCTGGATCGTGCGCGTGGGATGCAGAAACCCGCCTCCGAGCTTTTGGCAGACGGCTTGCACGCTAAAGTGCAGCGCAAGTGTTCCTTCTCTCCTTTGGGTAGGAGACGGTCTTCCGAGACCCGCGTCGGTAGCGCGCACTTTCACACAGAGGTGTGGCTGCTAAAAGACGGATTCAGCGTTTCTGTGCCTTCACAACGCACGTAAGGTATACAAAAGCTGTCCTTTTGAAACTTTTGTGATGCAACCCCTTTCGCCGTACTGTTACCGCACAATTTGATGGTCCTTGGCACCAGTTGTCTCGCTTCTTGCAGGACTACCTCGGGAGTCGTAAGCTCTCCGAGTTCTCATATCTTTTGTCGTTCTGGATGTTGATTTTTGCGAACTCGTTTGTGCTTTTCAATCCAGAACTGTATATATCTTGGTGTGAGAGCTTTGTACTGTATCCAGAGCTCACGAGAGTCTTTCGTGTCTCACTCATTTTTGGCAGTTTCCTATTCGTTTCGATATCTTCAGTCACCTGCTCTGTCTTTCAGTCCCCAGCGATGTCGTTCATCGTCTATATGTGTACAGTTTAGCAAGAGGAACTGCTCTTCTGACTTACACTTGTTCAGTGCTGTCCTTGTGCGAAAGTTGTGGCCGTTTTCTTCATTTTAAGCTGTATGCATCTGCTTGACATCAAGGTGTAAGAAAGCAGCCTTGGTGTACTTCGTTTCGAGAGGCAAAAAAAAAAAGCTATGAGCATTCGACTTTGCAAGCGTCGAACGAAGCGCATGTTTTGCATGGAGACTTCTTATTTGGTTCTGATATGTCATAAGCATGCAGCCTGATCATTGCGAATCACCTGCATTAAAGCATGTCCACTGTCGACTGTAGCAACCTTTATGGACATGCACGTCGTTCAGCTTGTGTGTTTGTACTTTTTGCTTGTTTGCGAAAAGACACTTTGACAGAGCTCCTTAAGCCTGCGGCTCAAGAAAAAAATGACAACATTAAGATGGCTAAAGTTGCATGAAGAGCAACGTGCCTTTTGAAAATCGTGTTTTTCTCCGTGGTCGCGTTGTTGTACTTTAAAGTCTTAAGTCTTCTGCATATCCTGCGTTCGAGTACTGCATTTTTCTAGCCAATTTAGAATGCTATTCATACGTGATTTCTATTCGTAGTCCTAAAGAGAGCTAGAAAAAATTCTATTTTTTCTATAGAGACGTTGTATTTGTGTTGTGATATGATAACTAAGATGGTTTTAAAATCTAGACGAAGAGTACATACAATTTAATTCAGGATTAGCTAACATAACAAAGTGCATGATAACTTCACAAGGAGGTCATAAGCACAGTGCTGCATGACACTGGTGCTTATTCAGAATGAAACGAAAGGGCTTGTTTTATATCAATCGCAGAATCAATGCGAAGTGCTCGAACGCAGGACAAATGCCTTAATTCTTGGGTCTTTGTCTTCCAGGCCCCCCCAGCGCTAAGGTGGCGCCTCACCGCCCACAGTGTGGTGTCCCGCCCAAGAGCGTTGTAGCCCCCAACAAAACACACGCTTGGCAAATGCCACCCGTAAAGCTTAAGACACAAAATGAGTACGTACCACATGGCCAACCCACCCCACAAAAAAAGAGAACCACCAGGTATCACAATCTTGGTCACAAGAACAGGTACATCACTACGTAGTCAATTAAAAGGCAACAGCAGCAACGTACTTTGTATTTAGCATAAAGGAACCACGAGAAGGCCAACGCAAGGACACGTCGGACGCAAACGCTGCCGCCTCTCCGGCCATCGCTTGTGTAGGAAGATTACGAATGCGAACGGAGACTGCGTGTGCGTCCGGAGTGTTCTTGTGGAGGTCTTTCCCGAGTTCGTTTATGGTAAATCTTCACTGGTACACATCCTCGAAGGTACCTGTTCTCGCAATCTTCTATCTTACTCAATTAGTAGCATGATGCCCTGAAACTATATTTCATGTGCATCTCTTTGGCGCTTCGTTTCGGTTACAGAAGCATCCACAGTTGCAAGCGAACTCACTTTCAATGGAAGGCGGCACTCCTTAGATGACCCGGAGCGGGCTTATGTCGTGCCAATCGGTAAGTATACTCGGTGTAATTGGCAACTTCTATTTGCGTCCTGTTTTACAAGAATCAGAACGTCGTTTGCTGTTCCGTGCGAAGGCTTTGTCATATTTACGCGTTTCTTTAAATAGATAATAAGCAGCAAAGAGACGAAGGTAACGTTACAAGGCCTGAATTTCATAAAATATGTTTGCCTTTGGCTAGACTGCTGGTGTAACTTGAGTTCAAAGTTGAATCTACTCGCATGAGGAATATAGGTTTCTAGCACAGGAAGAAACGAACGGCGCTTTGTACCTGACAGAGGCCCCTGGCATTGTGAATTCGACACCCGGGGCGAGAAGCACAGAGTGTTTATCCTATATGTTTGCCCATTGGAAATGTAGTTACTAACAGTATACATAGTGGCAGTCGAGGTAGATTAAAACTTTCTGGGCAGAATAAGTCTTCATTCAGTGGCTTCAAGTGACTTTCTCGGGGTCATATTTACAGTCGCATGCTTTTTCTAAAGGTTAGTAGCAAGAGTGTTGTTGCTTGGATAATCTCCGTTCAATGCCATTTTTTTTTCTTTGCAGCATTCAGATATTTGAAAACCGAACCGAGCAATGACATTGAAGCTGCCCGGAAAAACACAGAGCCAGATCCCGATGAGGGCATCTATTACATCAACCTCGGTGCTGACAGCCTTGAGGAGGAAGTCGACGGTAAGTTGATCGTTTCGCATTGAATGATGTCAGATAAATTCCGTAGATTGTTTGCTGTCTTATGTATATAGAGGAAAAAGAAGAGGCAGCAAAGTGAAAATTGCTGCCTCGAGCTACCAGTGTTGTAAAAAGAAGTGTGCATTGCTCTGCTCTGCTTATTCAAGCAATGTTTATTCAGATCAAAGATGAGAACACGCTGTATACATCAAGCCGTACCACCAGTACTTGTCTCGCGCTTTCGAGTCTTAATTGACTAATGGCCAATGTTGCACTGCTGGCTGAACGACGGCCAATGTAGCGTAATGGTAAATTCATTGCTAATGTCGCCTTGAATGGCTTAACAGCAACGTTGTCTTCCTTACATGCCAGTGCAATATCTGACTTGCCTACCTAATATAAACTGTTCTCTGTTCTTTTTTTTTCAGTGGACACACTTACCATTGCCGTCGACAAACCAAGGAAGATCATCAAAGCCGGACAAGCTTCCTTGCATCCGGAGGAAGAGGAAAAGAGTTCAACGGGCCTTGTACTGGACGTGATCAACAAACTTCTCTCCGTTAATTTGGACGAGAAAGAGAAGGAACCGTTCCTGATGTACCTCGTTAGCATTTTTAAGGTAGCTGCTTGTTCTAATTTTATCCTAGAACTGACACTTCGGAACAGTATGACATTACAGGTGCTTCGACAAATGCAGTTGAGTCAACTAGTCATGGTAAGGGGGAGCTGTTTATAACAAATGTTCGCCCGTAAGACCGGCATGCCCGGTGAAAATTGGAATTTACTGACTGATTTAGTAGAGTGGTACCTGTGTTATAAGAAATGATGGGTCGTTAATGTTTATTTTTACACTCATTTTCCTTGCCTGTTTTGCACGTTGGATAAAACATTGTACGTTAGCAGCAGGGATGCAGCTAGCAATTGGTTTCCATGACCCCTTAAGTATGTTGTGCAGGTGTTTCTATGCGTGCTTGTACACAGTATACAGATGAAAAATTTTTGGTGTGAGAAAATTTTGAAGCCCCCCCCCCCCCGCCCTGTTTCTTTTCAGCGCCAGCGGTAGACAATGTTGTTAATGTTGGAAGCCTACATGCAGAGTTATTTATCTATTTTTGCTCTCTTTGTCCCGAGTCATGCCAGTGGCTGTTATTTGGAAGAATATATCACCTTAACAGAGGTTTCTAGTGTAGATTATCACATTAAAAAAGGGACGCTCAAACCCACTCGGGAAGCTGATAGAACGTACAATGGTTGAGCGTGCGGCAATGCTACAGATGCGTCGACAGTCTTGTCCACAATGTTATCTGCCCTTAACATGCTCTTCAACATGCATACTAGGTAACAATGCTATCTACGTTGTTAATGAGTCGAATCGAGACCCAGGGGTTTAGATAAACTACACATGAGCAATCGGTGCAATAGTTAAACATAGTCTGCTGGACTTCGTCATCCTTCGTCGAGGCAAGAAGCTTCCGTGGTATGATGGTTGATAGTTTGCCACAAAACTGCGTCTTTTCTTGTTTAGCAGAACATTTCAGGAACATAGCCGTATAGTATACGGTAACTTGAAGTCACCTTAACAATAGAACTATGCATATTCATATAGTTTATTAATATTTATTGCTTATTGCTGCGCCATTGAACATGGTGAAGACGAGGTGAAAGGATGAGTGCATGATAGTATGAACACCTTAAGGTATATACATAACAACCATCCACGATTTCGGTTGAAGAGGCTAAGTGCTGGTTCAGTAGCCGCAGCTCCTACTGATACCTGTTTTATCAGCGTAGTTTAACTTACCACTGAATTTATACCGATGGTACTGGGGATGCGAGGACTGTTCTGGTGCTCCTTCCTATAGTGATAGCTGCTGCATCAGCATCCTGTTGTTTTAGAGACTACGTGATATTCTAGACAGGTCCTCTTGAAAATTCCGCTAAATATCCGTTGGTTCATGCCTTAAAATTGCGCAAATTGGTTATATGACTAGATCATAACATCAATGATGTATAGTGCCGCATATGCTTCTAATTGTACCGCATATGCTCGTAAGCACACCAAAAGCCTGCAACACGGAGGCGGTGTTGGTATGTTGGTACTTGCATGCTGTTTTATTTTACCACGTGCATGTAGTGTCTGTGCGCAACTATAACTAGGATAAGCAACACCGTCTGTGTCGCTCTTCGTTTTCCATAGATCCCTGTATTCTTCACTTTGGCAATAACGACCCCTGTGGTGGACCTCACCCAGAAGAACAACAACTGGTGCCGCCCTCTCAACGTCATCCACTGCATTACAGTCCCTGTGCTCCTAGTCTGCGTCTTTGGGCGTAAGTATCAATCTTTCGTTTTGTACACTGTGTAGACTGTATTGCATCACCATAGTATTTAGTATCACTTACGAACTTTTTGTACGTTTCGTAGTGAAAATATTAAGGGAGTTTGCGTGGACGCTCTCATTCACAGATTATATAGTCTTAATTATGAGGAAACGGATCGTTTCCATTTTCCTTTGAGACTATGCATAACGACTCGGACATCTCCACAAATAATCTTTCCACTACACTGTGCTAGACTTAAATTCAATCCGGTTAAGGTTGTTCACGTAAACGTGTGATTCCTACGTTTGCATCGAGTAGCACAGTAGGCCCCTTTTACAAAGACTAATTTAAAAGTGGAGGTCAGTATTATATGTAGATGACTTGAAATGTGCATGCACCGTACAACGCTTGCGTGTTTTGCTCCTTCATAGCATCAGCGCTGCCAGAAAATCTGTCGCATACACTGTCGGAACTTCAGAAAATTTGTATATTTATATCCGCATCATGTCATTCACAGCTTAAGGTCTGAACCCACTCTGTGCAGCCTAATTTAAACCCTGGAGCCCAGTAGACTAGAAAATTGTAGCGTCGTGCAGCTTGTTAGTAATAAGGTATATTCTTTTCTTCGCGAGAGAGTCATACAGTGTTAAACAAGATCTGCAGGAGCTATACAGGAGTGTGCGTGGTCTGTAGAGTCCGAAGCGGAGGTAGCTTTTACTCTCTCGATAATGTACATGTTATATTGGCATTATGGTAAAAGCTTACTGAAGGCTGGGGGACATGATCTTCAACGACCTGTTCTCGTTTTAGGACGCCAGTTGCAACTTTCTAACTAGCTTTCACTTGCAGTGGGCAAAGTGGAGATCGGCGGCGTGGTTCCCCTATGGACGGTTGTTGCCGCTGTAGGTGCCCTGATCGGAGTGGTCGTGCTGTTAACGTCTGAAAATGACAAGGCACCCAAGTACCACTTCGTATTTGCCTACGCCGGCTTCTTTGTTGGCGTCGTGTGGATCTACGTCATCTCCATGGAGATCGTCGTCTTGTTGCAGGTGAGCGCGATGCCGGAAACAACTTAACCTTGTTTTTTCCACAGTATCACCTCTATTTGGTGCAACCGAGGGATACACTACTTGACAGGCATTCGATTTAGAGGGCTCGCTTGAAGGTTCTTGCAGAAGTGGTTGCGAAACAAGCTTAGAAGTAAATGTTCTGGACCTTTCTGGTGATTTACATTACCTTGTGTTTTGACATGTGTTGCTAGCACACTGTCGAATAGTATAACGACATATTGCTCACCGAATGCTAATTTATGCGTTGTCGATCAAAACTACGCTTGAAAATTCGCAGGGAAGTGTAGGGCGACTAAATTTCTATGAAGGACTCTCGTGTATTTTCTGCAGAAATTCAGGACACAGTATCATTAAAACTTTATTAGGTTTGCATGAGAATTGACATGAATGCTGGTAACATCACACCATGCATTGCTAATCAGCATACAGGAACCAGTCACTGCGTATAAATGGCAAATGAGTCACTGCTGATAACGCAGCACTACTGCAAGAACGTGTTTGTGCACACCCTATTTTTGTTGCGCAGCTGAAGCACAGAAATGAATGAATACAAAACTAGTGCAGCTTTCACTGAGTCACGCAAGGCTGGCTTGGGTCTTAGCAGAGCTGGTGGGCACCAGCTCTGCTATGAACCAACAGAGAACCTGGTTTCAACTGCTCTTGTTAACCATACATACAGAATGCTTCGATGGTTATCGAGGGCTTTCCTGTTCATACTGAAGACATCGTCTACCTACGACACGCCACAAACCTAGGCCATAACTTCTCTGCAATAAAATGAACAATTATAACTGTGATGGTCATAAAAACCAGAAACAATGGGGTGGTTAATGGTAGTGGTTTCACTGGCACGGCTGTATTGTGAAGACGTAATTGTCCCGACAACATGTTATGCTAAACGCTTGCCAGTGCGGGAACAATGTTAATCCCTGTCATATAAGTTTAGTCATGTGAATGCGATGTTCTCGTTTTTTTTTGCAGGCCGTTGGCATTGTGTTTCGCATTAGTGATGGAATACTCGGACTGACAATACTCGCATGGGGAAACGGTCTTCTCGGTAAGTGGCTAGATTGTTTTCAAGTTCAGGCAAGTAGACCAGTAATGTAGCAAGGATTAAGTGATGTCCCATGCATTGACTTGACAAAAAGATGCTCCCACTTCATATCTACCACTCGGAGGGATGACATCAAAGACGTGCTTTTTTTGTAGATCCAAAAGTTTGAAGAACTCAAAGTCTTCTGGAGTGTGAGCAATGATGCTATTTGTTTGCAAGCAAAAATCATTCTTTCCAGAAAGAAAGACAGAGCTGTATTGTATTTCATCTCTCTCATAGAAACCGACTTGCCGAATAAACGTACATCCTCGAACCCATGTGCAGTTGGCGCTTATCACTAACACAATCTTTCATTGGATTTTGTAGTGGCAGTTTTGCGATAACAATTCTGAATAAACATGAAACTTCTATGAAAACCAATCATGCAACGCAAGATGATCTTATCTGTATGGCCTTCAAGCAAAATGGCTTTCAACGACCCGCGTGTCTTAAATAGTTGGTTGCATGTCCACCCAGGCCTCTTAAACGACGAGACATTGTTATAATTACTCGAAATTATTTCAAGTAATTTATGGAATAAGATTCTCAGGTTAAACTTATGGGCATTTCGCACAGCCTCACTGCTTAACAACGAGGTAATCATAATTATCATGTGTGTCATTAGCCTTTCAGTCAAATGTTGGTGAGCAAGGCATTAATATATTTTTAATTCTGTAAAATGCAACACTATCTTCATGCCTGTACCATGTGAATATTATGCTCCTGAAACTGTGATGTATGATTACGTTTATATTGCTTCCTTCTCCAATGTCTTCGTTTCCAGACTTTCTTGCCAACGTGAACATCGCCAGAAAAGGCTACCCACGAATGTCTATCTCGGCCTGCTTTGGAACACCCTGCCTGAGTATCCTTTGACAAACTGCATGATATCTAAGTTCATCTATTTTTTACGTATGCGTACTCATCTTCACGATTCGTTAAAGTCTGCCCAGTTGCTGTTTTCCTAATTGTATTTCACCCGCAATAGGCATCGAGAGCACACGATGAAAGCCTGTAGGAAAGCCATCAGGTCTTATATTTTATAGCTTATGTGTATATTCTGCTAACATTGAGAAAGAATTTAAATTCGCAGACAATATACCTTCAAGAACACAGTTCTTGTTCAGGAAAATGACTACATGATAGGGCAGCCGATCTAAATTTAGACTCTATCGTGCTTCCCACCTGCCAATCTAATCCGCAAAGAAATTTAGGGGCTGCTATCACCGACATTATGCTTGCAGCTCATTTGCTGTTTCCTTGTGTCATGCATATCACCGACATTATGATTGCAGCTCATTTGCTGTTTCTTCTGTCAGCATCTATTCGCACGCTCTCCTTAACTGCTTCCTACAGCTCTTCTACTCGGTGTTGGAATTCCATCTATTATTCAGTTAGCCGGAACAAACAGCGTTCTTGTGGTGAGTATTGGAATTCTTTTAGATAATATCTTCCATGCCATCATGTCTCAGTGCTAAAGTAGTGGCTAGAATATCTCGTGATGGTTCTGCAAGATAATTGTTCTTTACAGCCGTCACTGAGGAATACTGAGCACTACTTCTCATCTTCATTTCTTTACCTGTTCTTCTAAAGCGTAATTAAAGAATTAAAGCCTAATTGTTCTATTTCGTGACACACACTAGTCTTTTTCGTAGCAGTTAAGCAAGAGTAAGCTGCATTCATCTATAAAATTCATTTGTGACGAATTACACAGAAAATATATGACAGACAAAACCTGAGTAGGTTGTGCTTTTGTCGCCCCAATACTGCGCCACACATTCTGATGGGCTTTGCAGTAGAGGAGCGTGCATTGCCGCTGATCCGCTTGTGTACCACGAATTGACGTAAATATGAAAAGTTGAGCCTTCCTAATTTCTCCCGTATCAGAATTAGATCTCAACCTCTCAAAACTACATGTTTTATTTTATACTTTCTTTGAATGCATCAGAGAATACACCTACTTTCTTTTTCTAAGACTTTCTCTCTGTCTTTTTGTTTTTCATGCCCAGCTTCGCTACACCAAGCTCATCACGGTGCTCTTCTCTGGTCTAGCCACCAGCCTATTGTCTTCAATGGCCACAATGCTGGCAACACGCTTCGAGAGCAAGCGCTTCTACGGTGGCGTGCTTCTTGCCATTCTACTTCACGTTCCTCGTCGTTGCCGTACTTGTTGAATCTGGATTAGTGTGAAGAGACACACACATAGAACACACATGTCACACACGAAGCACAAAGTGCTTAAACTCAGTTTACTGCTGCCCTAAATTTCACAACGGAAGGAAACGCATGGGCAAAGTATGATGACACGGTTTGCACAGCTTTCATGCACGTGTCCTTCGAAGCACTTCATCAATCTTGCAGTTGTGGTTAACAGGAGGGCGTGGTAGGTAACTGCATCAGGTTTTGGCTCCAACAGTGAGTCCATGAGCGGAAGCGTGTCAAGCTCTGTGGACAGAACTTACCGGGCATTCGTGCTCTCAGCTAGTCGCTGTTTTTTTTTCTCTTATTCCAGAGAGCCGGTCTTCATAACTGGCGAAACTACATGACGTCCACGCTTTGCACGTGGCAACTGAAAGCAAGACACGCGCGAGTCTAAGAACCACAGTCGTTTGATCTTTGCATTCTTTGGCAGCCGCCTATTGTGAGCAGCTTAACTCGCACGGGTCGTCCCACCTAATAAAAGCCACGGTGAAATACCACACACACACACAAATACCACACGATGGCTCGTTTTTTTAATGCATTAATTTTGTACAAAGCAGAAAACGAAAACCATGACGTCTGTCTGCTTGTGCATGGTGAGACTGGCGAAGGAGAGGTTGATTTTTTGTTTTGTGTTCTTTCTCGCGTTCTGTGCACCAAGGACAAGGCTGCGCATTGTATACTCTTGTATTTTATTAGTTTCTGAGAGAACTCTTTGGTGCTGGGGATGGTCTAGCATTTGCTTCTGGGGACGGCATTGAAAAGAAACCCTGAAACGAATTGGATGATAATATAAAAACCTATTGACATGCAGCAACAGTTCTTCGAATAGTAACAGACTGGTTCATGGACTCTTAGTTTAACGTATAATTACAAGGCTTAAAGCAGCCACTCTGTTACAGCTCGCCGCTGTGCCACCACGTTGACTTTTCAGCCAACTCTTCATTTGGGGCGCATCATGGTTTTGTGATGTCACTCGTGCCGCTAATCATATTGTCTTCTCGCCTTCTGTATACCAGAGGAAACAACGAGAGTGACAGCGGTTGTAACGGCACTTAGTGGCGTCGAGACACACCAAGCAATTGCGGGGCATGGCCTCCACCATCTTCCGTGCGCCGGCGGAACATGGCGGAAGGCAGGGCATAGCCCGTCAACTCAGTGAAGTTGTTGAGCAAGAAAAGCACGGTTTTGGAGGACTGTGGCCTTCCAGTGTCCCATAGTTCCTTCCATACAATGTGCTTCCTGTGTTGAGAATAATGTACTCTAGTTCTAGGCTAACCATGCACGAAAGTTCCAAAGCCGTTTCAGGGACATTCCAACGTCGTCGTTGTGGGAAAACTACATAAATATTTATTTGCATTTTCGTAAGGGCGAAGTATACACACAGATTGTTCCTGAAGCTCTCTTGAGCATGTCCTTGCTCCTTCAAATGTATACGCGTTATTTATGTCGCGCGTGATAAACTCGCATTCTTCAAGTTACCGGGCTTGTACGACTCCTGTCAGTGGCAACATTTCTTGTCGGAATGATCTTTTTTTTTACTTCTTTTCTGAAAAACTAACTACCCGTTAGATCTGAAACACAATCTTTTTTCCAGTCGTCTTTTCGCTTCTTTAGCTATACAATTTTGAATCTCTCCCACTTCAACTTTAAGTATTGGTGGCGTTGTGCATGCGTTGTACACTTCACCGTCAATACAACCAATAGTCCTGACATTTCTCGCTCCCATAGTGTCGTTTTGCTTTTGCGGCACAATTTTTTATGAAAAAGCTGGCTGTGTTGACGCCTAGGCTATGGTGAATAAGCAAAGCACCTATGAACACAACGAAGACGAAGATGATTTTCATCCCCCGGTGCCGCCATGGTCTGGCGTTTTCCGAAATCTCTTATGTGGATACGTATGAGCCGTAACGGGGAGTTGCTTGTTGAGACTATTTTGCGCATGCATTTCTTACTTCTGTATTATTGTAATACTAGTTGCAATATTTGTTCTGTACTGACCGCAATAAATTATATTCCTTGTTCCAAACGGCTTCGTGTTTTATTGATGAAGCTCTGCCTCTTCTTAGCATGTGCGGGGGCATTTAAAAGTCCTCAGGTCTCGTTGCCGTAAGATTACACCAACCTTTCACCACCTCTGCATGAACTATTGACGTGACCTCTGTAAAAGCGTGTCAGCAGATGAAACTTTTACTACCTTTTAAGAAGCAATGAAGCCAACCATTTGCCACATTAGGTCGCCATTCTGCCAGTAAACAATTTCAGTAACTTCAGCAGCTTTCAGACTTCGATATAGCATTTGAATTGCCAAACTATCTATATAGTGTCATGTACGCGTAACAATGTCCACACAACAATAGCAACACTCTCAATGCTTCGGCGTACCTAAAACACGCATGCTTGCTAGTACTATAAGAACACGAGCAAGACGTGGCACAGCTGTTTTTCTTCTAAGCACTTCCGCTCCAGCTCCTCCGGTTTTCGAAAAGCAGATTTAAAAAATAAAACTGGTACAATAATTACAGTTCGGATTCAACATCAGTTTTATTGGTTACATATGGTACCGGAGCCTAAGTTTACTTAAGGTAAGGACCACGTAACTGTCAGCATAATAAAATTATTTGATTGAGTTCTTTAAAAACGAAGACTGCTTTCTTGTGAGCATCTCAGATTGTCGCGGCACCTGGTGGATCAGATATCAACCATGCTTTTCTTTCTACTGCAGCCTCTGAAATCCACTTCAGCAGTGCCATGAAAAACAATACATACCCAAGGAATATACACCCGGCCATACGAACGCCGAGATGCGAGTGCCACCACCGGGCACTTAAGTCTTGGATTAAAGCAGCCTTCAGTTCCCGCACCTTAATCCGTACAGCCAACTTTCTGGAATCTGACGAGCTTAACAGACGTGAAATGACAAAATGGCCAGAATGAAGCCTAACGTATCACACGATGCCCTTACACTGTTGGCGTACGAAAATTCTGAATTCACTCGTGAGGTCCGAGCGAAGCTTGTATTAAACACGCCATTGGTATTAGAGTGGCAGAAATGGATGAAAAGAAAAACGCAGGGAGGCTAACCTAGTACAAGTGACCAGTATGATACCCTGAGCAGGGAAATAGTGGTCGTAAAGGAGACAGAAAGAGAAATCAAATAAAAACAAGGAACAAAGTACCGAAATCAGCTTCAACATTTGAACTCAGATGTCTGAAACTCGCTTGAGAAAAGTATTTTTTCTGTAAGTCTCTTATTTGAAGGCACCCTCTTGAAGTGTACAAGTTTTCTTTCTAAGTACGTTAAACATCTCACATTATGTTTTCTTGCCAAGCGAGTTGTCTTACTACAAAGAGTCAGCTGCTACAAGCTACTCAGAACTGTCAATATAGCCGGCTAGCAATCAAATATTTGATGGTTGGTCTTGTTCTGTAGCCTTACTATGCCTCCAAGTAAAACTTTGTGCTGCACGAGTTGGCTCATACTTGCAAAGAAAAAAATTGTTGCGCACAAACTACACAACGGCACAGAAGACATGGACCACGGCGAATAAAAAAAAATGTTTTTGTCCGTGCCTTCAGCGTGCTCGTGTAGTTTGTGCACAATCCTTTTTTTTCCTTACAATGCCGTATCCTCTTATACACATAATCAGGGGATACTTATAAATCCGCTAATGCGTTTCGCGCTTAACCTATAGCAGTTTATCAAACTTTTTAGCGCCCCTTGATGAACACGCAGACTTGTTAAACTTTTATCTGACTTCTCACTCGTGTAAGCTACTCGGACACATAGTTTACAAACATATCACGAGTTACTTGGAAACCAATTGTACACTAAGCGACTGTTAGTGTGGTTTTCGTCATGGTGATCACGCAGTAACTCAGTTAGTGGAATTCACCCACGACATAACCAAACGACAATATCTTGGTACGCAAGTTGACGCAAGTTTAATAAATCTGTCCCAAAGCTCTCCACACTGTCAGGCAACATAAACTACTACTTGAGCTTAGTCTCATTTTTAATAATCTTAAACTAATCAACTGAATTGCCAGTTTTGGGATAAATCACTCCAAATATGTACACTACAATGCTTCTGAATCCCCTGTTGCGAATCTATCTTCAGGCGTGCCACAGAGTACAGTCCTTGGCTCAATTCCATTTCTACTTACATAAATGACTTGCCACAAAACATAACCTCTGAGATGGGTATATATGACAACAATTGCGTTATTGACCACACTATTAACTCTCGTGACGACCAAACAGTTCCTAACGACGTGTTTTCCCACTTTTGATTTATAGTGCAATACCTGGCAAATGAGTATAAACTTCACCAAAGCTGTTTCAATGACATTCACTAGGCGTTTAGCTACCTCCGTTTTCTCGTACTCTTTCCATAATTATTTTAGACTGAAAGTACCAGAATACAAGGATCCAGGACTTATATTTACGGGCAACGTACTTTAGAGCAAACATATTCAAATACAATGTAATGTATCGTTAAAAAACTGCATTATATCCAGCGCACCTTTCGAGCAACTCCTCAAGAAACCGAACGGCTCACATAAAGAAAAAACACTAATACGTCCAGTCCTATAGAATATGCATATATTGTTTTGAGTTCATTTCGTTCGAACGATATTACAAGGACTGAGTCTGTTAAAAAAAGCTATTTGTTTTATATAACATTGGTACGATAGGCACTTTTCACCCTCTTCCAAACTCTCTAATCTCAGAATGAATACTCTGGCAACATGTCACCGCAACGAAAGTTTAAAGTTGTAGCATGCCTTGGTTGAGTCCCCACGCTGTGCCAACTTAAACCAGTGCTTTCAGTTTGGTCAAGTTCCGCCGTGGTGGTCTAGTGGCTCAGGTTCTCGACTGCTGACCTGGAGGTCGTGGGATCGAAACCGGGCGGCGGCGGCTGCATTTTCAATGGAGGCTGAAATTCTGTAGGCCCGTGTGATCGTGTTTGGGTGCACGTGAAAGAACCCCAGGTGGCCGAAATTTCCGGAGCCCTCCACTACGGCGTCTCTCATAATCATGGTTTTGGGACGTTGAACCCCACATATCAATCAATTATACAATCAGTTTCCTCAACCTTCCTGTAATCATATCTCGCATATTCTTATCCTTTTGCAGTTTAGATATAGAACTGATTTGTACAAGTACAGCTACTTTCCCGCAACAGTTGAGCGTTGGAATGATTTGCCTGGGTTTGGTCGCGCTTTGCCAATGACCGATTTTGCCTCCGTTTTGAACGTGATGCTTTCTCGCCACTGCTGCCATAGCTCATGACTGTCTGTGGTATGCACAAATAAAGATAATTATTCTGTAAAATATCAGCCAAGACATAACTTTTGGACAATATTGTGATCGCCATCAACCACGCTATCCTCATACAAACATGATATTGCACGGTTATTGGTGTATATTACACTACTCCGTAAAACAACAAAATGTGCGAGGTGGTCGATGAGTTCAATCGGTAATCTACAAGGAACGTAAGTCGTAGCAAAAAAAAAAATAGAGCGAGAGCGAAAAAAAAAAAAAGAACTGCAGCGTGGAAGGGGCTCCGCCAGCGCGTGTTTCGAGCGAACACAGGGGTCGTATACTTAAAATAAAATGCCGGTGAGCACAATCACGCGACTGATCACGTGACTGATTGTTCAGCCAGTTTATGGAAGCAACTTTAAACACTTTACACACTATTTCGCCTCCCTGAGTCCACAAAGAACGCATAGGCAACGCCTACTAAACCTATATTATTTCTTCTGTGCAAGCACAAAATTTGAGTTCATTACTCGGGACTCGCGCTAAAACCGCCCTTTGCTATGCCTTGCGCAACGTTGATTAATGAGCCTTCCTATCTCTACCATCTTTTTTGTGAGAGCGATAACGCACGCAGAAAGTGCCCGTCGAGTCACCATTCGAAAGAAAGCGGCGGTTCATTTGTCTCGACTCTGACGTTTGCCGAGATTTGCGCTTTGAATACGTAGGCTCTCGTTCAGAAGCCGGCACTCCGGAGCGGTTCTTACTGGTTATATATCACTTGTTTTTACCTTTTCCTTCGTAAATACTTGCCAGAAATACGACAATCGAAGTGGCTGAGGAAGTGGCAATCGTTTATTCAAGTGAGAAAAAATTAAGGGAAATCGGTTTTCAGACTGAGCAAGCATGTGTGTGCCCGGAAATCATATATCGCGATACAGTTTATCGAACCAGAGCATACTTCCCCAAAGCGTGCGCATGTTAACGACGGGGTTTGCAAGCAACTCGAAAAAAGGGGGCCTTGTCTTGTTATTGCGGTCTCTGTGATATTTCGAAAATGCGACATGAATTCACGAAGCGGGGCCAGTTGTCGCTTGACCTGCCAACTTCTCGTCATTTGCCCACTAGTTGTGTAGGTGCTTTGTTTTATACTTCTGTAAACAGTGTGAGATTTATCCCGTGGCAAACGCCGTATTTATTTATTTTTTTTCGTGAAATATAGCTCCACCTTCCTTTATAGTAGCGGTAAATCAGATCTCGGGAACTTCGCGAAATGAAGCGAGTGTCGACGACAGAAAAGAAGGTGTCCCACGTACTGTTTAAGAAAGTTTTAAAATATGGTTGGTGCACGTATTCCGGAGAAGAAACTTTACAGCTTCAATAAGTGTACCTTGATCTAAGAGTCGCACTTCGCCTCGACACTTTTTTGGTGTCGGTATACATGGAAATAAACACAGATGTGTACATCTGTAGCGGAAAAAGATTTACCGCCATGTGTTCGCATTCAACAATTACTCATTATGCGCTACATTTCAAGAGAGATGGAGAGGGGGCACACACACTCGCGTAAAATACTTTCGTTGCATCAATTCTTAGTACGATCACAAAACAGTGTGTGAAGTTAGCTTTCCTGTCTTGCCACAAATTTTCGCAGTCATTTTCTTCCCCGCACTACGCAGTGCAATGCTGTGAAGCTGTGTTAAGAGAAAAAATGGGCATGCGTTTAACTACGTGCGGTCCACTATCGCTGTGTAATTATA